AAGCAGCTTTTAAAGGTGGATGACGGTGAGGAGCAGGAGGAGGAGGACCAGCAGGAGAAAAAAGAGAAAAGAACAGTCTGTTCACTGAAGATAATACAGTAAGTGCACACGCCTCCTCTCCGGTTAAAGACATAGCGACGCTTACAGGCCACAGGGTGAAAGTGCAGCAGGTGACGGCAGGGCTACCGAGTTCAAAGAAATGCAGAGAGGCAGGAGCAGGAGTCGGGTCTGGATCAGGTCCTGAAGTTCTGAAGTTACCAGAACCCGCGGAGTGGAGAAAGGATAGAGAGAAAAGCACCACCTAGTGGTGAAATACAGCACTTTCACTCGAGTGTGTTTATTAAAGGTGTGAGGAGTGTGAGAACATCTGCATCTGCTTTTTAAAAATAAATAAATTCCATGTACATGTGCCTGTTATCATTCGTTTTTTTCCAGTTTATTTTGGCATTTTATGGGTCAAAGGTCAAGTGGAAACAACTATTTAAAGTGTACCATTAAAACGGAATATTTTAGATGTCTTTAGACAGACACAGGGCTGTGGAGCAGTCACAGCACACCCTTGTCTGTCTGAACTACAGCTCAGCTCTGTCCTGTGTTCATGTCAGTCACACTGCTGTCACTTTGGACTGTGAATTGTGTCATTAGATCCAGATGATGAGTCAGCAGTGTCTCCTGTGGAGTGTGAGTGGAGTGTTGCTAAATCACTGGGGCAGGGTCAGATTCATTTATAGGTTTTATTTTTACGACTGTAAACAACAACAAGTAAACATGTGGATCTTTACTGCATTTCTCTGCTGGAGTACATTGTTGAACCGTTACATGTAAAACAAACCTTTAGGCAGTGTGACCTACAGTCTGAGCTACAGTCTCTCCTTACATGTTAGCTTTTCATGGTGTTTTTTGATTTTGTCTCGATCGAAGTTCTTAGAATAAGTGTTGAAGCAAACAGCTGCTGTTTGTACTTTTTTTTTTATTTCCTATAGTTTACAAGAGAATCAATGAGGAATCGAATCAATAAGTGATACTGATGATAGAACTGGATTTTTTTTTATCACCTCCACTTCCTATTTCAGTCTAACGTTACTTTGGTGTAAAATATAAAGCTGCTGTTTGGCATACAGCCCCTACCAGCTCCATAAATATTTGTCTTTCAAAGTACTGTCCGTACGAACTAACATATACCTGACAAATACAGCAGCACAGGTCTACTGTGTTCAGCTAAGAACAGTACTAGTTATACTAATGACAATGACAATGAAGTTACTGATCAGATCAACAACTGGTGTGAGAACAAACACACTGACACACAGCAGGACTACAGTATACCACAGCTGTGGTTAAACACTCACCTCAGTCCATCCTAACATATATTCTGAATATAGGCAAAAAAAACTGAACTGTGAGACTAAAGATCATCAAAGACTTCTCCTCTTGGTCTAACTGCACTTTGTGTGCAATGTGAAGGACGTTTGCCTCTGGGCTGGGGAATGTTGCACTAATGTGACACTATAACACTCATGCACGCTCAGTAGCACACAGAGAACCTCCAGTCTGCTGCAGTGTGTAAGAGAAGAGGTTTTCCTCCATCATGTGACGACCTGAGTCATCCGTGACACGCAGAGTTATAACACATTTTCAACGCCCACACATGTCACACACAAGACCAGCAGTGTGACCACAGTGGAGTCAGTGGTGGTCCTGGAGAAGGAATGTCCTGAGAGAAATAAACACCTTCTGTAAACATCTTCACAGCATCGTCTCAACCTGGAGATATTTCAGATCAGTTTCATCAGACCTTAAAAAAAACCCAAATATTTTGGTTACTTCTACTTTGAGTTGACTTAAGGTGTGGTGGAAATCAATCCACAACATGGTGGTCTCTGCGATGCCATATAGCTTCATCATTTTCTTAGTGTAATTTCAACCAATACAAAACTTTTTTTTACAGCGCCCCCTTTTGTTTGCTGCAATTCCTACATATCTGCAAATCTAATTCAACAGAGCATATTAAAAAAAAATTAAAAGCAGTCAAAAGAAATTCCCTGCCATAGCTCTGCGTCCCTTAACTGGGCCTTGCCCCCAACTTTAGCAACTACTCCATGCTGGGGTTTTGGGGACCAGGTGGTGTCAAACCTGGAACCTTCTGGGAGGTGGGACAGAGGTTCTACCACTGCACCACTATAGCACCTAAAGTGGAGGTTGAACCATGGACCATGAACAACATGCTGCTCTCCTTGCAGTGAGCAGTAACTGTCCAGCCTCCATCCACCTCTACATTCATTCTTCTTTTATTTTGAAACTATTTTAAACAATATAATCACAGATATACCAAATATTTTCAAGCAGGAGACTCAAAAAAGAGCATCACATTATTTACAAAATATCCATGTTTAGGGACAGATGTAAGGTCTCACTGATGATTGGTCCACTACTACAAGTCACATGGTTCAGAGTCTGCTGGGAATAATCTGATTGTTTACAAGCAGGGTTTGGAAAAAGAACTCCCCACAACTGGCATTAAACAACTCCAGCCTCACCCACCCACTCCTCACCCATACAGTCTTCATCCACCCGGTCGTACTCCGAATGAGTCACGTCTGAGAAAAACAACAGACAATGATGCTGCAGTGGGAGAAAACTATCCATGAGAAGAATGAGTGCCACAACCATGGCAGCACACACTCAGATTGAAGGACTGAGGTTCAGTTCGGTTCAGATCGGTTCTTGGAGCAGTTTTCCAGGTGTGAACAGAATCGGGGTTTTCATCTCAGCAGCAGGTCCAGAAGTCTTTCTCTGGATTCTTCTTGTTCAGGACTTTGAAGGAGCCATTGTGCGCTGCAGCGTTCACTGACGAATGATTTTTCTGACGCTTCAGTTTGGCAGCCAGTGCCAACACGATGTCCTCCACGTCCTCCTGCTGATACGAACCCTTGCTGCTGGCCCTCTGTCCATTCACACACTTAAGTGGAGGGTTCTTGGCTGATGTCTCAAAAAACATCATTCCGTGAACACTGGCGAAGCTGATTGCCTGCTCCTGGCCCACCTGCTCCCGGGTCCTTTTGGGGTCACGGAGGTCACCCTTATTACCAACTAGGAATCTGCAAAACGGGTGTGAACATCTTTACAAAACTCAAACACACAACACACAGTTACCGTTTGGTTACTGTTTTGACTGTGCCCAGAAGATGGACAGGGAAAGAAATGTGAATTGAAAACTGACCGCTGAATAAAAGCAGTTTCAGTTTGTTTGATGTTTACAGATGATGCAATCATCTGACCTGACCTGCTGAGCTGGAGGACCTACCTGGGTATGTCCTGTCCAACAGAGTTTTTTCTGCACTCTTCTACCCAGGACAACAGGCCACTGAAGCTGGGTGGGCAGGTGACGTCAAAAACAAAGAGCACAGCGTGGACATTTCTGTAGTAGTGCTGAACCATGGACTTGCGAAAGCGCTCCTGTCCTGCGGTGTCCCAGAGCTGGAGCTGGACATTAGGGTTAGACATTTTTAACTTTTAGCTTACTTTTACAGACTTGGTGTCATATATATATATAAATAAGACTGATTGTGTAAAAGGTTGAACCTCCATTATATTCACTTCCCTTTCTTTAAGAGCGTGGCACAGACCAAACCACACAAAAGAGGAAATAAAGAGCAATGTTGAAATCTGACAAAACAAACACTGACATGAATTCACACACACTGTGAGTCATCGCTGAGAAGGTACAGGAACAAATGAAGAAACCTGGATGTTTTTGTTAGAAAGTCGGGTCTCACTGCAAAAAGATGAACAAGGTGAGGAAGACAAAGATGAAGAAGAACATGAAGAAGGAGAAGGTAATGAAGGAGAAGACAAAGAATGAATAAGAAGGAGAAGGAGAAGACTAGCACTGAGTCTGAGTGGGTGAAACATGTGACAGTGTGACACCAGTGACATGCTTGGACATGACTGAAGTGTGGGGGTCAACAAGTTCTGAGACAAATTGAAATAAACTCTTTCTCCCTCTTCTAAGACATAATGAAAGTGTTGGTGACAATTACAAATGACAACAATGGTCTTGAAACTTTTTGAGGTCATGGACCGACATGGAACACATTCTGATGCACATCCAGGGATGAACTGTTTAGGCCTTTTATCCTCAGTTAATCTCTCTATTTCTTAACAATCTTAACAAACAGCATGAAACAGACACTGGGATGGACATGTGGTGTGAGTAACAGAGACAAACCATTCACACAGGCTTGGACAGTGGAACAAAACCAGAGGAAACAGGGAGAAACTCCTTTCACAAAAACCTAGAATCAAACCAGCAGCATGATAACATCAGTACTGTAAGGCAAGTCTGCTAACCACATCTGCCACCATTTTCTTTTTTTAAATAAACTGCTAATTCTTATGCGTTCAGCAGCTCAATTACAAAAAAAAAACCCCTTGGCAGAAGACCTCTTAGAAGACCCTTGGCTCTGAGACCTCGTGTCTTCTAAGAGGTCTCGACATTGTTGAAACCACAGTTCTCGTTTAAAACGGGAACCATGTTTGTAAAGAAAATGACGAACACTGCTGTCCTAAACTGAACGGGTTTCCGTTACACACGTTTTTTATTAACTTCTTAAAAATCTATTGCGTTTCCCCTTTATCTCACATCTGCCCCCACTGTTCAAAAACAAACAAATAATAAAAAACAAACAAACAAAGAGAAATTTCGATTACCTTGAGTTTTTCTCCATCCACATCCAACACTCTCTCGCGGAAGTCCACGCCGATGGTGGCCTCCACTCTGCCGGGGAACTGTCCTGCACAGAGTCGGTGAGTGAGGCAGGTCTTTCCCACTCCCGAGTCACCGATCACCAGGACTTTGTAGGTTCTACAGCGGCTCAGGGCTGAAGACCAGCTGCTGCCCAACGAACCGGAGAATTCGAGAGAAGAATCCATCAATGGTATGTTGACTTATTTCGACTGCGTCTCACAGAAGTTGACTTTATTTTTATAGAAACCCGTTTGCAGACGCTCTGCTGAGACACATCAGCTGTAGCAGAAGCAGGGCACGACTTTTCCGCCCACAAACTCCTCATCTGTGGGAGGGGATCCGACCAATGACGAGCAGGAGCAGGAGGAGAGTCAACCCTGAAGAGGAGAGACTGTACCACAGACTGTAGGTCACACTGCCTAAAAGTTTGTTTCACACATAATGGCAATTTTGATGCGCATTAAAAGCGTCACCGCACGAATCATGCGGTTCAACAATGTAGTCTGAGACTTTACTCAGAGGATACTTTACTAATTAGATTTTCATAGGTCAGTTTTCATTCATTATATTGCTTTTGAAATCATGCTTTAAATAATAAATTCGAACCGAATCATGCTGATGATTCGGACTGGAATGATTCGATTACTTGAATAAGTGGACTCTTAATATGGTGGACTCTCATGATTCGGTTGAATAACTTCCCTCTATTCAGAGTCGAAACTAATTCAAGTTGAATAAGTGATACAAAACACACACTAGTATTGGTAGTTGTTATGTAACAATTCAGCACATACTACTAACGTAGCACATTATTTGGTAAGAAAAACAACAGTTAGATTATTACGTTATCACTATTACGGCAGCGAACACCCGTCATGGTGCTTCCCTCTGCTGGTCGAAGATAAGCTGCAGCAGGAAGACTGGCTGAGTATTTTGATATTCTGTAATTGTCTAGCGCCCCCACCCGTCGACCGCTGGAATTTACTTCTGATCCCTAGCGACACTGTTAAGGATCGCGCAGTAGAAGTTGGATGGATAGAAATGGACAAGGACTGCAAGATGAGAGAGCTGCAGGTGTTCAAGGCCAGGGATTCCCAAAGTGTGGTGCAGGGACCCCTGGGTGTACGCAAGCTGCCACTCAGGGGTGTGCAAGATTAAAATTGTGTTGGGGTTTGGAGTGTTTTCAAAGTTAATCAAGTAACATTGTCTTTGTAAAATTTGATTCCAAAGCTGACATATTAATTATTAAATACATGCCGACGAAACCAATTCTACTGGTCTGAATGAGAGTACGGATGGTTATGTCAGTCTGTCAGCTTTTTTTAAACAATCAGGCTGAATGATTTGAAAGCCAATCACAGCTGTCTGTGGCACAACCACACACAGAGACCACGTACCATTCACACATGGTCAATTTAGACTAAGCACCTCTTTTTTTCCTTGTTTAAAGATTAGAAATAAGATGGGAGTTTGATGTAGCCATCCAGATATCAGTGCAGCCCTGCAGATACATCATAGAATGAGATTAAACAGATATTAAAAAAAAGTCAAGTTTTTTTTTTTTGGTTTTAATACAAAATTCCAGAGATATACATCGCCATCTCAGAATTCCTCTTTCACATTAGATCCCAAATTTGAGGAAAAAGAGGAAGAAGAGGGATTTATGCATGGGCGAAGAAAAATTAAAGAGGGAGCAGAGTAAAATAAATTCCAGACAGTTCTCTTGCCTTCGAACACTTCCTTCTTCTGTTGTAGAGCAGCAGTCTCTGGTGGTTATTCGTGACCTCTCGCCAACTGTTGGCTCTTTCTTTCACTCTGTCTCACTGTCTCCATGTTCAAGTCCATGCAGATAAAACCATTTCTACCATGTGATGATGATGACAGCAGCAACTCCAGTGACTGACAGGACAACGAGCTCTGCTAATGACAGTCATCTATGGTATTGCTTAGACCGATCCGACTCTGAGAACTAGTGAGTACAAAGGTTAAACAGTAGCAGTGTATTCAAAATGGAGCCAACACACAGCATTTACAGTTTTTATTTTGTGCTACAAGTTTGCTCCACAATAAGTAGAGGATTAGAAAAATCCCAGGTCGAGGAGGGAACAGTGAGGGAAGCACAGTCTGGCCAGAAGTGTATTGTCTCTGCAAAGATGAGATTGATGCACTGCCACATGACTGTGGTCTTCTGGGCCGTTACAGCAAGTACACAGGAGCCCATGGTCACCGCTTGTCCTCAGGAATTCTCTCAGCTCCACTGCCTACAGACGTGTTAGGAATCAGCTTGTCACCCTTTGTCCCTCAGTGACACTCGCTCCAAATTTATGCTTTAATTCAGCTTGACTTTAAAAATGAGGGTGGAGACAGTGCGTGCGACAGGAGAAGCAGCAAACTCAAATGTTTGCCACCACTCTGATTGATCTTCAAAGGAAACCGACAGTGTCAGTTTTGTAACCAATAACTACGGTATATTTTCGATACTCAGTGTGGTTTCAGGTCGATTAAAAAAGTAAAATGGCCATTCTGGTATCTCCCCCTTTCTGCCCCCTTTTCCTACAAATTTACACTTCATGCTCACACATATACATACACATACACACACACACACACACACACACACACACACACACACTCTCTCAACACACAGTCCTGATTTTCACCACGTGGGAGGAGAGCTGAGCCAAGCCAAGCCAGGTCAGACCCTATTAAGGTGAGCCAAGAACACAACGCCTATGTTTTTTTTCACACTTCTCATGTTTGGCTCTACCAAATGGCTGCCGGGTGTACCACGAGGCTCTGTGCTCCGTCCCATTTCCTTTTTCCTCGAACCACCGGCGTCATTGTTCGGTCGTGCTCACATCTCATTGGCTAGCTCCTCGGTTTCGGTCGAAACATCTCCATTGGCAATTTTGGTGTTTTCTTCGTATCCAGGTGGCATGAACGCTAACGTGTAAGGGTAAAGCTTGTGACACTCTGCGCGGTAAACCTCTGCACGCTCTTTGCAGTCGCCTAGGAAGCCGCTGCGGAGGCACTCCAGCACCTCTGTGCAGATCTGTGAGAATGTTAGAAAAGGCAGAGTGAGTTTTATAAAAAGCCTGGACATGTACCTGAATGTACCATAAATATATATACACACACACACACACATATATATATACACATACATACACACACATGTAATAATGTCAATAATACAATTGCTGTGACACCAACCAGTATGGTTCTGTTGTTGAGCGACTCGTCTAGTGAAATGGCCAACTCGGCTGCCTTTGTCTCTGTAGTCGAGTCCAGATAGACCATCATTTTTGCAGCTTAAGATGAAGAAGAGAAGATTTTATTATTTTTAGCCGTGGTGACGCCAACATTTCATATATACAGTAAATGCATCCAGCGAGACAGAGATGGTCATGTTACTATCTACTCTTTTCAAACACCTACCAGCCAGTCTGTGTGGTATGGAGTTGGAGTGCTTGGTGAGGTAGGCCTGGTTGAAGCTCTTAGCATTGCTGTCTCCAAAAAGCCGGGTGATCTCCTGCTTCAGCACCGTCCTGACCACCTCCGGTAGCTCCTTACTCTCTGAGACTGTAGAAACATGAGGGAGAGAGAGACGATCAATGAGGGCTAGGTTTTAACAGGGCAGAGGTTTTAGAATGAATAAAAACCCTTCAGCTCTACCTCCTTTAAAGAAGCGTACTAGACACTGGTGCAGCCAGGGATGGTCTGGGTCGATAGCTACCGCTCTCTTCACAGACTGGAGCATCAGCAGATATTTTTCTGAGACAGAACGAAGTCGAGGAGACATTAGCACCACTAAGATCACAGTATCTTTAAACAAATGTCTGCAAACAAACCTTTCCTGAAGTAGATCTCAAAGGCCAGTAGGTGGGTGTCTATCTTGCTTTTGACCAGATGTTTGAGAGGCATCAGGAACTTGACTGCTTCTTCCAGTGGATTTTCTACCTGTAAAAAGTCAAGAGGAAAACGTTCAGATCCAGACACTGCTGATGGGATGCTCACAGTCTCAGCACACTTTAAACGCACCTTCACCAGTTTGTCAGGAACCAGCTCCTCTTTGGGTCCTCCAATCTCCTCGTCGTCATCTTCCTTCTTCTTCTTCTGGTTCTTAAGCTGCTTTTCCTTTTCAGCATTCTTCTTCTCCTCTTCCAGCTGGGCCTTCTTCTGTGCTCTTCGCTGCTTGTTCCTTAACTTTTTCAGCTCTTTGTCAGAAAGGTTTGCTGGAGACAACAAAAGGAAGACAATGTTTTCCCAACTTTCTCTTCTTTGTCTATTGGACAGAGAAATAATTTTCACAATGTATGTTTCACAGCCTGTCACAACAAATGTCTGCCCTCAACAATGCTTATCTTCAATGCCCTCTGTACGTTGATGTGCCCTTATTCCATATTTTTCCTGGAGATTTGTAGGCTCTTGTTTTCAACTCAAACCTACGCTCATGTACGTTTATACACTGTTTTGCTTTTATTTTTCAACAAGAGCAAGATGTGTGAAAACAGTGGTCCTCTCACCAGTGTCTGCCTGGAGCTCTTTGCTGTCATCAGTTAAGGGATTGTCATGGAGGCTCAGGTAGATCTGAATGGCATTGGTGGCTGCCTTGTAGTAAAAAGGATGCATTCGGAGCACATCCTCCAGCTTCAGCAGGTCCACGTAGGAGCGAAGCGTCATCTTTCTCATGCAGTAGGTGTGGAAATCAAACTGGTCATCTGTGATCTCCACAAAATGCTGGTGAGGAGGAGAGAGGGGAGGGAGATTAAAAGTTTAACACCTATCCATGCTCACTCTTGTTGTCATAGGAGACAGGTTACATTATGCACCATGTGCAATGACTGACAGGAAGAACTCACCCTCTCTATCTCATGGCACTTCTTTAGGGCTTCCCCAAACTTGTTCATGGACTTGTAGGCAAGTGCACACTCTGTTTGGAACCACATACACTGCATCTCATTTAGATTTTCCACTGCTGATGCACCCTCCTGAGAAATGTTAGAAAACAAACAAAACTCATTAATATACAAAGTCAACAAAGCTCCGTAGAATTACCTTAATAGCAAACTGGTATTGGTTTCTCCAAAGTCTAATTTGCAGGAATTTGATTGATAAACTTGTTTCCAATTTCAGTAAAGACGACAACAGAACAGTAACACAGTGATTAGACAGCAGGATTTGTGTGAAGGGGAAAAAACATATTTAGTTGCAAAAAACAGTTTCTGCTGGTTTGAAGACAGACTTGGCAGGAAATCAATCCCTGTCTGCAGTCTCTCTTTCTCAGCATATCAGCTGTCTGTGTGGACTTCACCGCACCAACACTTCTCTCACCCTTGTGAACTTGGAGCACATTTCCTCAGCCTCTTTGATCATGCCAGCCTTCAGCATGTACTTGGCACACTTAGAGTTGATGAATCTGTCAGCAGTGTCCAGAGCCTGGGCCTCGTCCATCCACTGAGCTGCTTCTTTGATGTTCCCAGCATGCTGTGGGAGGAGAAAGGTCAATGCAGCAGTCATGACTCAATCCTGGTTTTGAAGACTTCTCAATTACAAAGACATTTAACGCACAAATGGACCACACATGTTAAGAGTACCTTGTAAATCTTGGCCTTGATGAGGAAAAGTTCGATCAGCGTTGGCGTGCTCTCGATTGCCGCGTTGATGTATTCTAGAGCCAACGTCTGCTGGCTGACCATGTCATAGTGCTGTGCCAGGAAGTACTGCACCCAGAGCAATGTTGTTGGAGGTTCCTCTTTTCCATCATCTGCAAACATTTAAGCACATTTTGTAGACTTGCACACTGCTATGGTAAGTTGGTCAGGGCATAGTAACTGAACATGGAGCCACTAGAGCATCATCTGTTGAACTGAGTCACCGTGCTTGAGTCCTCACCATTCTGGTTGAACATTCTGCAGCCTTTTAGTGAAGTTTCATAGCCAACCACCAGCTCTTCTATTATTGCCACCTGAGGGAAGAAGACAAAGGAGTGAGACTTTGACTCTGCTGTGGGGAGAATGTGCAGCCACCACCACTCTCACCTTTTCTTTGTCGTTGTACAGTGACTTTAAGGTAGTGAAGACTGGCGGACAGCCTTTACTGAAGTTCATCCTCAGATACCTGTCCAGACACTCTCTGAATTTCTCACCTACAGAAAAACAAGCATATAAATTCTGCTATTGTCATCCTGAGTGTAGACAGGGAAATGCATTCTGATTACAGTGGGGTAAATATGAACGTAGAGCACAATTTAAATAAGTTGTTGTCCATACCAGAGAGAAAGTTGAGGGGCAGTCGACGAGGAACAAGTCCTTTGGGGAACTTCACCCAGGCATCCTCGTAGATCTTGTGTCTCTCCTCTACACTGCCTTTAAAAAGTGGGGGAGTCAGTAAAAGAGTCCGAACATGACATTTGAATGTTAAGACAGTGATGTTTCTGCCATACTTGGTTTTAGGGCCTTCTCCAGGCCATGATAATAGGACCAGTTCTCTGGATTCCTTTCTTGGAGTTGATGATAAACTTCTGTGGCTTCCTCCAGACGTTCCAACTGCAACATCAACTCTCCTGCAGACACAGGAAAAGAAGCAAAATAGAGAAACTGTATATCTAAAGCCATAAACAAACTGCACATTTACTTATAGAATTGAGAAAATGCTCTAACACCTGGAGCAGAAATCAATTGTCTATATGCAGCATAGAAATAAAACTGGATTGTTTTTCTATTAAAATGCTGGAAACTTGTATGCAAACCCATAAATACAATAAAGCTACAATCAGTTATTTAGTCTTGACACTTACACCTTCAGTTTAGCACACAGTGACCTTTGCTGTTGACTACATCACTAACAGTGACTTAATATTTTAAATTAAAAAGTACAAGTATTTACCACCCCCACACCGAGTTCCACGGTGCCTCACCTCGTGTCTCCTCCACTGCTAGTTTGTCACAGATCTGTTTTTCAAAGTTGGACAGATGCTCCAAGGCCTCCTTGTACAGGCCGGCTTCTCTCAGCACCTGGTTCTGGTACAGCAGCAGCTCACTGTACTCATAGTCCACTTTGTCTGGAGACGTCTAGACAGAAAACATCGAGGAGAAAAGTCAGACGCCTTTGAACCATTTCAACATAAGTTTCTCTTCTAAATTGGACTTAATATAGAAGGAAGGTAAATGTTGGCAAAGAATTTTGTAAGATCAGCAAAAATCTTTTTTTAGTTAAAATCTCAGTTAGCCAGACATACGTAAATTTACTTTATTCAGAAAATTAACACATAAAGGGCAACTCCAAAATAGTAAAAGTAGCAAATATCTAAAAACTTTTTTAATGACAAAACAAAACAGTGGGCCTGGAGGTGGCTACTGTCCAAGAGTGTCTACAAGACAACAATGTCCACAGACTGGAGTCACTCAACAGAACTGTAGTATTGTGCTGCTCAGGAAACTCGGCACCAACCGTCCAAGAATGTGTAGTCACCCACCTTGTTGCACCAGCTTTTTTGAAATACACTTGGTATAAAGACAGGAAACAGACGGGTCTTATCACATTCACAGCAGACTGTACTGCATGGTGCTTTACTACGAAGGACACACTTTGACATTCAAGAGTCATGAGAGGAAAAGTTGCTGGCCTCAGTAGTCACAAGCAACACACACACACAATGAAGAACAAACCAAGGAAGAAACCTGACCAACTGACCAAAAACACCAAGGATAAACTCCCATGTATGTTAATAATACATGTTGACTGCCACTGGTCCCTAACCTGTTGTGTTTTTCTGAACTCCTCAATAATCTTTGCAGCCATCTCGTAATCTTCCAAGAGGTGATAGGCGATGGCGTAGCCGATCCATGAGGCTCGTTGTGCAGGACGCAGCTGAAGGAGTTGATACCTTGTCTCCTACAGGACAGAAAGAGTCACGTTTTAGTTTACTGAAGGAGGAGGCATACTGTCAAAATTCTGCAATTCACACAGAGCAGAGAAATGTTGTTCTCCCATTACATCTGACAATAGACACACAACACAATGGTAATAAATTTAACATGTAACTAAACCTAGTGGTCAGTGTGTAAAAGTGCACAGATTCTAAATGAATCAGCGAGAACACTATAATATATAGAGCTATAATTATTTATTTATAATTATAATGAATCCATCTATAATTGTTTATAAATATTATATCTACTTCAGTGTTCAGGACTGCACTGTACATCAATGTCTTTATCTTTCCATAACTAAAAATAAGTCAAACATGGAGTCAACTGTCAAAAACAGCCACAGATATTTCAGCCCTTCACTGGTCATTGACTCATAACTGCAGCCGTTCACATCTCTGCCTATGTCTGCAGCAGGAAAGAAAAACAGGGAAACAAGTGAGGAGCAGTTCAGCTGATTCATGATGTTGTTGGTCTAATGTGTCTGGACCCAGGCCTCTCCCATCAACATAGCCTTCATCTCATACCTCATACTACATTAGCATCTCAACCCTAGGCCGTGTCCCACATGGTTTGTCCTATGTTATATTGATGGACTGCAACCTTATACATAGCCACCCTGGACATAACGTAGTCACTGATGAGCATGTGCGGTATATGACCTAAACTCTTATTTATTCCTCTTTTCTTTAATTATAGATAATTATTAAACACCACTGGACAGAGTTCCACCCAGTAAAAAACAATCTACCCCAACTCCTTTTGCCCTTACCCTGTAGCCCTCTAGGTCTCGCATCTGGATCTGAAGCAGTGACAGATCTCGTAGGATCTGCAGGTTGTCCTTGTCCCACTTGAGGGCGTTGCGGTAACACTTGATAGCCTCGTCGTACTTCTTGTCGGAGCGCTGCAGCAGGCCGTAAACGTGCCAGCCTGGAAAGCAAATTAGTTGAGGAGCATACACCTAGTCTGGTGTACTTGAAATCAATCACATAAAATCAAACCTGCAAACTACAAGTTGCCACAGTTCTCTTTAAATCAGATCCCAACATCCCTACTATATCATTTAACAAACAAAAACATGGACAGCAACAACTGAAGCTAACAAATGACTGGAAAATGTGAGACAGAAGCAGAAAAAACCCCCAAAAGTGCACAAGAAAGACTTGCCGCGTCTAATTCTTTTTACACCATTGAGTGCTGCTCAATGTCCATGAGGTATCTAAAAGCAGTAAGATGCCCTGACTTAAAAAGAGAGAAGTCAGGTGGGCAGCACACCCTGTTTCTCCTTCCATTTCATGTCATTTAACTTTGTAAGGATACAGACATGGCTCCGGAGGTCGTTACGCAGGCCTCGTCTCACTAGGTCATAGGCCTCCTCCTTTTTCCCCAGACAGTTCAGGGTCAAGCCCTTCATTGCTAGGGTCTCTAAAAGGAGACACAAACGCAACAAACATGGTCAAGAAAACAATAAGCAAAAAATTGTGTATTTTCTATGACAGAATGTGTGATGACTCTACCTCCATGTTCAGCAAACTTTGGGTTGGACAGGATTTGCTTGCAGAACTTGAGGCCATTTCTGTACTGTTTGTGTTCGTAACAACGCTGTTGAAGAAGAGACAGAATGTGTTAGACCAGCTGACTCACCTGTAACACACTGAAAAACAACTACACTAAAGTTACAGACTAGGTACAAGATTGTTTTGTGTTTCATGATGCCACTTCATTCAAACCATTTAGGTTCAAGACAGATGTCCGAGACAATTTAAAATTATTTTACACTTTAATAAATCCACATTTTATCAATGAGACCACATGTTTAACAGCTCTAAAATGGTTCTTTTAATCGTTCATTTAAAAGTAAAAACAAAGGGGTTGGATATCATTGGTCCAGTCATTGACTGAGAAGTTGTCAAGTCTGTAATAAAAAATAGAAGGATATGGTATCATCTGGTCAAAGGATCTAATGGTCAGTCACGAAAATAACCCCAAAGTAAAAAGAGTTAAGTTAAATAAAAAATTACCCCAGAGTGCCTAATTCCCCCAAAATTAAACTAAGCCACAGAAAAACATGTCTGTGAAATGACCCTAATGACTTTATCACAATCATAATCAAATGAAATGGCCAGAAATCAGTGCCGCATATAAACAGTCAAATATAATAGAAGCCAAATCTTTACTTTCGTTTTATACTGTGATGCATCAGCAGACAAGTCAACTTGACAGACTTGACTACCAACTGCTGGACAGACCCATCAACAAAACCACGTTCGTAACTTTATCAGGGATCACTGTTGCCAGCTCAGTTATGAAATGACAAACAATTCACTGTTGAGCTAAATGAAGGGTTAGACTGTTCAGTGAAAACAGAGGAAATGTGCTCCATCTCCTGCCAGTTACCTAACCTCCAAACGTCACACTGAGTGACCTGTAAACACAAAGGACTGTGTGCAACACAAGGGTGTAGGCTGGAGCAAATCAGGTCCATGATGTGTGTTTGACCATGTGTTCAACAGAGTAGTGGGCAAGTGGACAAACACTGAGCCATGTACAGTAAGTAAAAGACTGACATGGATGGTTTTGTGCAAATACTCAAAGTAAACAACTCCACCTTGGTTTATTTTACTTGATAGTGTTCAATGTGTTTCAGCTTTGTATTCAGTGTTGATTTACAAATCACTGTTAAGACAATAAACTATCATCCATCACACTTTGGGATTGGCTCAGCATGTTGGATTATTCAAACATGTCTAAATGTTAGGTTTCTGTGTTCAGAAGCACAATCCAGTAACAAACTGAATGACATGCAAATGTTGAGAACATAGTTCAGCACAAATGACAATGGTGTACTGCAGGTTACTACTACAGTCACACGTGGAGCTGTACATGTCATGTAGTGACATTAACACCACCAGCTGCTTATCCAGCATGTTCTCCTCCTTACCCAAAATAACTCCATAGCCTGAGTTACACAGTGTCTGTGGGTGTGTGTCAAGAGCTGTCCAGTTCACAAACAGTTGGGGTAAGTGACATTTATAGGACTACCGTTTCCTTTTTTTTTAATTATATACAACCAGAGCTTTATAATGTGTTGATTGAAAGGCATGAATGCTGATGTGGTCGTTCTTATTAGAGATGGGGGCCTTTACATTTGTACTTGGTGTTTTAATCATGTTAGAAGTATTCCAACTATTCAATGCCCTGCCCAGTATGTATGTATATATGTATGTAGAACATCCTGGACAAACCACTTCAGTCGCTTAGACTCAGTATCACTCAGAGGAGCTTGTCCTGCAGCTCTTACAGGAGTGAGCACAAACCATCAGAGAAGGGATTTTGGAGCGGGCGTGTTGCTACAGGCATCTGAGAAATGAAGTAAGATACTTAAGTCCAGCTCTGATGATGACTAGCAGACAGACTTATTACATTTCAACACATGCGCACACACACCTGCTTTTACTGCTCCGACTGTGGGTTTCTTGATTCACATGAAAAGTGACCCCTGCAGCAACTGTTTTCTTTTATCTCTATAGAAGTTACACATGAACAAGGGCTGTAGATCTAACTTTATAACAAACATTTAGGTGGCAATAATTGTTCTGAACTTTTAACACGGTGACAAGTGATTTACACCTGAAAATATATGTAAATTGAAAGTCTTCTTTACCCTTTATTTTAATTCCAGAAAGTTTGAGTTTATCTATTTTTCCTCCCAAAAGAAACAAAACTGAAACTCATCCAACTCCACTGCTGTGAAAACGTTGGACAACTGCCAATGTCCAATAATGCATTTGGGCACCAAGTCTACACAAGTACGAATAATGAGGGGTGTGGTCAGTGTCCAACACCAGTCAGAGGGGGTAAATTCTTAGTCCCATATCACATTTCCACTTCTTAAGCAGGAAATAATCATTTAATTAAGGGCTATCTAACACACATAAGTTTCAATATTCACCACAGCTGCAATATTCAATCTATATAATTTTTTGTTTTAGTTTTACTTTGTTCAACATCAGAATTGTGATACATTATCATTTCCCTATACTGCAAAATGCATGCACTAAGCCAGTTTATGGTGATGTGCACGCACACAGACAAACATTTACTGAACTAACATTTGACTAATATTGTCACCATTAATGAAATTAACACTGTAATTAATGTAAACATGATTGAAGAATTGGGCAAGAATGATAAAACAGTGCAAGAACAACAGTCAAAAGCAACTTTTTACACTCTAATGCTTTTAAATGATTAAATAAAAACTCCTTTAAGTTTTTATTAGAGTTTGTCCACTACCTTTAAGGTATGACAGATGGCTATTTTTTATGCAGTTTCTCTCAGCAATAAGCAGAAGTAGATATGGCTGATTTTAATGGATGCACAGCAGTTCATCTGCCTGTCACAATATATCATGTCTCCTCTTCTCTACATTAATGAAGTTTCTCCAGGATTGCGCTTTTTTTATGTCTAGAAACGCTCACTCCAAAGTCATTTGTTCAATATATAGTAGGGGGCACATAATCTTAACATATGACCCCACCAATTCAACACATTTTCTTCAACTTCTCTATGAACTAACCAACCTCAGATGTTAATCTGGGCTATTTCAACCATTAACTATTAAATTTATACATTACTAATAATAATGTAATGTATTGGTTTTTCAAGTTAATAAAGAACTTTGTGGACAGATTTTTAAACCTTAAATTGGTCTAATGAACCTACATTTCAGAAGGAGAAGTAAAAATTCATTCTTTAACAACACACACAATGGCAACAGTAACCATATAAAATAAGAACAGTAGTTTGCCTTAACGTTTCACCAACTAAGTGCGGATTTCAATAACACTACTTCTGTTGAATCTTCGTCTTTTACATCTTAACCTATAATACACCTGGGTATAGTGGATAAACTAGCGGCGAGGTGATGGCTGGGTGGTTGAGTAGCTGCAGGCCTAAACCACACACGCACACACAGATTTGCTGACACAGTCACACCGGTCCGTATCTATGTCTCACATGAGCTTCCAGTTTAACACGAACAAACTACACACAGCTATAGTGATAGTACCCGGACGGCGTTCCCACTCACACTCAAAGAATAACAGTGACGACAACATCAAAATCTGCTCACATTAAAACTAACTCGCTGGCTACCGTTAGCCCATCAGCTAACGTCAGTTGTCGTGACAAAGTGTGGCACATGTCAAACCTTGTGGTTCGCGTCTAAGTATCCATGCACGCAGTATGTCTGGATGACACCAAAACAAACGCAAAGAAATAAATAAGGAAAACCGAGGAGGCCAATTTACGACCAAACACGACAGTTGAGGCGACTAACGTGTTAGCCATCTTGTTATCAAGAGATAACGCTAAGTCGTGTTTGACAAGCGCCGAGGCCTGACTGCATGAAGCACATTTGGCTCATTTGAATGTCATCAAAAATGAACTAAGATGGTTTTGGCAATGCCTACTTAAACCAACCAAAAATGCTTCTTAATACAAAACAACGGCCTTTGCTTCGAGCTGCAGTGACAGCGCACATTAGGGCCGGGCTATACTCATTCAACGATGCCATTTTGCTAAATAGCTCATGCTAACACAGTAGAGCTACAGTCAGAGAAAATACCGACTGACGGAAGTGTAGAATTCCATCAATCGTAAATAATAACTGTCGCTAACACTTACCAAAATCCTCTTGAAGAGCGCGTTCTCTTTCGGCGGCAGAGTAACTGTCGGCATTGTTGCGGTTGAGATCAGTTTCCACCCTCTCGACCTCAGCACATGTAGCTAAAGTTAGCCCGGTTAGTCCAGACAAGTAGATCGGAGTGATGGCCCGGCTCGCCTGTTTCTGCCGCTCTGCTCGATTGCTCCGTTTTCCCTCTGCATTCACTTCCTGCTCTCAGCGTGAGGGCGGAAGCTTCTACACCATTCAAAATGGCGGCGCCAGAGTTCTGTTTAACTTAACTATAAGTAATAAATAAATAAAATAAATTATGTATATACAATATGCATATGTTATATATATATATATATATTATTATATATATATTATATATATATACATATATAAATATATATGTGTATATATATATATATAAATATATATATATATATATATATAATTATAGACAGAAAGTATTACAAAAGGTGAAAGCAGGCAGTTTAGACAAATGCTAACGAGTAAAGACAAAAAGTGCAGTGCGGTCAGTGTAGTTGTTGTAGTTGTATCTGTGTGGTCTGTGCTCTTCCTGGGGTTGGTGGTCATTGCGGTGGGTGCGGTCAGTGTGATTGCTGTACTGTGGTCATTGTGGTCAGGCAGTGTGGCTAATTGTCTGCAATGTCTGCAGGGTTCAGGGCAAAGGGTGCATTTATCATTGACATGTTATTATTTAAAAAACTGTCTTGTCAAGACAAGACAACAGAAAACAAAATAAGGTACACCAAGGTCATGCAAAGAAGACAGGAAAGAACAAAACAAGACAAGGCTAGAATATGAGGGTTGGCCTTTTTTTAACATTACAAACTTGCCTAGTCATTTTATTTACAAAATACATTTATGTTGGACACAATGGTCTTTTAAGTAAAAGGTATCCCAGTGATAAGTGTCCTTGAGGCTAGAACATCAAGCTTGTGTTGGCATGATCGTTTCTATTCCTGACCCCAGCAGGATTATGGTTCCGGCTTCTGGGACTCAGTATAGTGCAATCCGCTACTGCTGGGATAAGTTAAAGCAAAGGATACATGTTGTTTTATATGTACAATGACTAATATGAAATAATACAAAGACAGCTGAACCAACTGTGTCTATTGATGTAATTTAAATTTTATTGTTGGAGTCATTGTTAGTGGTTCCTCAGTGTAGCAGTTAAATTGTTCCATTGTATAGCGATTATCACGTCTGCCTTACAGGCAGAAGGTCCTGGGATGCGAGCCCTAGCGGAACCACATACTTAATAGCACCTCCCGAGTAGCAGCCTGTGTAGGTTGGAAAGACTTACACTGTGGATTTCCCTGGACTTTTCCCTTAAACATATGCACTGCAAAATTTACCCAGCAGCAACCTCTTCAAGTGAAGGTGACTGTCTTTACAAATGTAAACATTTTCGAATAAAATGTTTCAAGTGACAAAAATAGTCACTTGCCCTAATGAAAATATATTCATTTTAGATTGTGCCCACTAGAGGGTGCTACATTGACAGAAAAGAGGTGAAACCACACCACGGCTTCAGGGCAGTGATTTGGTTGGTAATAGATCATCTTCAAGCACACTGCATTATTTCTTAACATCAGGGGCAAAGACAAAAAGGAGAAGAGAGAGGGAAGAAGAGAGAGAATAGAAAGTGACAATGAGAGTGGGGAAAAGAGAGATATTTAGAATTTTTTCTTGTTACTTTATTCATGCCTTGAGACGACTCAGGCCTTGCTCTGCTGTTATCTGGTGGCCTCCTACTCCTCCACCACCACACTGGCTCCTGCAACCACATTTATCAACCTGACACACACACGCTCACACAAACACACACACGATTCTTTCTTTCCATAGTACCTCATTCTGTTGTTCACTCTTTTCACTCCGTACGTCTTCGTACTGCACATTCCCCCAGCTACATTTCCCCCTCCAAATACCCTGCAAAAAAAGACTGAGAGAAAGGAGGGAGGAGAGGGGGTTGAGTGAGAGAAAGAGAAAGTGGGAGAGAGAGAGAGAGAAAGAGAGAGAGGGCTGATTGTGAGTTTATCTCTCTCTTCTATATTGTGACACCTCATTTGTCGTCCTGATTAGAACCAATAACTGGGCCTCTGGAGCATCAGGATCATGGCTGATGGAGTCAGCAAGGGTTTGGCTCCAGGAGAAAGTAGAATGTAATTAAAACGGACTAGTGATTGATTCAATCATTATGTTTGCATGCAGAGGTAAAGGTAAAATATGTTGGATAAAAAATTCTACTCTTACTGATGGTTTCATGGGTGCAGAGTAACACTAACATCTAACAATTATCAATGTCTACATTAATGAAGCCAGAAGAAGAGGCTGCCAGTTTCAATCACTATAGTTTTATCATGGCCTACAAAAGGAGTTTTTGTAGTTTATGGAGTATATGTAGCTAATACAGCTAATGGTGAGTTTTAGGGCGTATCCACACCAGAATAATCTGGGGAACTGTGCACGAGACATTTTCCAACTTCTTACCTTGTTTACCTCTGCTTCTTCTTTTGCAATACCGAGAACGCACCATGTTCTACATCAGTTCCTTCCACACCAAGGTTCACTTTCAAGTGCACCGTACCCAGACCAAGTTTTTCAGTTGGACTAGAGATTGGTTGTTTGGTTCGATGGCAGCCTGGAGGCAGACGTTCAAAGGAAACGACCCTGGTCCTTTTAAATCAGAACAAACTGCTCTGTTGGTAAAGCTCCCTTAACTTCAAAACGAGTGCAGCACCAACAACAATGTGGACCTTAGGACTTGGATCATATTCACAAACGGTTCCATGATGTACAAATATTTGACAGACAGATATTATAATCCCTAATTTGAGATTTTCTACCTGAACATATTTCCAGGGCATTTGCATCAAGCTCACCTACCTTCTGACCTTGGACTATGTATTGAGTTTGGACAACATGAGTGAAATGTGTTTTTGTCATTGGGTTCACGGAAACCTGTTCATGCAAGACATTTGCCGTTGTTATTATTATTGTATTGTTATTTTTAACTTTTGCACAATTTGCGTTTTATTAGCAAGCAGCAGTGGGTTTATAGATAAAGACATTGTGGTTTCTCCACAGCCCTGCAGCTATTTTTTCACTCTCACTGTGTTGGATTTCTATAGAAAACTAGTCAGTCTCAGTCTTTCCCAGCAGGTGTCATCAACAGTTGCTCTATTTTTTTTTCCACAGCAGAAATAAACACCTCAAGATTGCACTCTCTGGCAATGCAGAGATATGTGTGTATGTGTGTGTGTGTTTGTTTGCGTGTGTTGGGGGAGTAGAATGTTACAAACCCTGCCAGCTGAAGCCACCCTCCCGCCTCCACTGCTCTTTCACTCCCCTTCCTCCTCCTCTCCTGTCCTGTCATTCAGTCTCCTTCTTCCTCTCGTTTTTCTCTGTCCTAGGTGGCGTCGCTACTGAACATGAGTAATGACGTTGTCATCTCTGTAAGTCTCCATTTATCAATGTCAGAAGGGAGAAGAGCAGTAGTGGGTTGAATGAGTGTGTGTGGTGCGTAGAGGGATATAGAGTTGAGTAGAATTAAGGCACCTATGGAGAGGAAAGAAAGAAGAAAAGAGCTGCGAGAACGAGAGAAGAGGGGATTTGACAGAGAAAAAGGGGCGTGGTCACGCGAGGAAGAGTTGAGTGAGTTTGAAAAGAGGTGGTGAGTTTATTAAATCGCAGCTCTGGCCCAGAAGGTTCTGGCCCAGTGTGTGTTCTTTCTTTCTGTCCATCTTTTTCTCCATTCGGTCCTTCCGTCTGTCTGCTGACACCAAGCAGCAGCTCATGATTCATGGTGGTGGTTGGTGCCAGACAGAATTAAGACTCTGCTCTTTAGCATATGCAAGTCTAATTATGTAAATCAGAGCTGTTAGGCACAACATCACTGTGGCGGTGACTCAGTCTGGTTTTGGGCGCAACGTGAACGCTTGTGCATTTGTCTCTGTCACTTTGGCGACCCTGAAGTGAAATGAAATTACTGTTTGTCAGCTAACAGGGGGAGTATTGATGTTGTTGTGTTTAAGTGAACACATGGTACAGAGGGGCCGAGAGCAGACAAGGACGGTGCAATTTACAAAACAAATGGAAAATGTATTTGGTGCCCCCTATTTATCATTTACTAACTATCATAATTTGTCAGCCCACAGTTTCATGTTCTAGTCGCGTTTAGCTTTATGGCTAACAGGCTAACCAGGTAGCTTATCTAGAATTACAATTTTATAGCAGTTAGTTGCAGACATAGACTGTATGTAAGAAACTAATGCAGCTACCTGACCTTGGAGTGAAAACTAAAAGAAGTAAACCAGTAGGGGGCGACATTTAAAGATGAAATGTGTAAATTAAAGTATATTTGGAAAAATCACACTACGTTTCACTATGTTCTTATTGTTTCTTCCTTAATTTCTCACACTTCATTCCCAGGTGTGTATTTACTCATATATGAACTATACCTAAGCGGGGCTAAAATGATGCAGTGGTAGGATCTTCTACCAGAAGGTTAGAGGTTTGATACCACCTGGTACAGACCTAAAATTTAACCCAGAACTGTAGTGACCCTCTCGCTGTAAGGCAGAACCATGTGGCATGTGACAAAAAATAAACCAATTCAATGAGAAAAATTGATTTAATATAATCAGCGAGAACATTCTCTTTTTATTGTTACTTTTTGGAAAAACAAACAAACAAACAAAAAAAAAAAACAAACAAACCAAAAAGACTTCTGTAACTCTCTTTTGTTTACATCTTCAGAATTCTGTACATGGTGAAATAAAAATAAGCACTGCTTAAGAACCGAGACCAATCTCAAACTAGAAAAAAGGGGAAAATAATTCAAAAAGACAGGAGGAGGTTTACATTACAAATTAGTAGTAAGACATTGTCTGAAGTGCAATGGCATAGCTCAGATGGGTTAAAAGTGAAAACAGAAAAACTTCCAAATAAAAATACTTCTCTATTTTCCAACAAACAGTAAATTCTTTACAGAGCAGAGAATGTATTATCTGATGTATTTAAACTGTAAAAACATATTTACAAATAGCCATTATCTTTTATATAGTTTTTCTCATAATCACATATATGTCAGCAAAAAAAAAAAAACCAAAACAAATAAAAATAAAACAAAGAACATCAACAACAACAACTTCTGTTAAAACATTGTCTACAGACTTGGTCCCAGTACATTATGATATTTGGAGGAAGTTTCCTCTCTTCCTGAAAGGATTCCAAACCTTATGACAAACCCTCATTGGAGACAACAAAAGGCTGTGGCCTTAATTTGGACAGCGAGCCCAGGTTTTGTCCTGGTCAAGATGAGGTGTATCTGAACAAACAGCCTCAATTTCTCTCTGAATTAAACTTTGAGGCTGACTCACTGCACTACAGTGTCACGTGCACAATACCTTGTTTATACTCAAACACAGGCCACCGATGGTGGTGCGATCTCTCGGCTGACTGTTAGGTGGCGCACAAAGCAAATACGATCTACAGTAAAGCAGCAGAAGGAATAAAGAATTGTAGCCATACAACTTACCATCCAACTGTATGGTTTGGCTCTGTCTCTTGTGCAGGCACAGAAGCATTAATAGTCACTATGCACAAGAACAGACAAAGGGAGCACATTTGGACAGTACTGTAAGATTTCCACCTGCCATGCAAAAGGTTTTGGGTTTGATTCCACCTAGATCCCAATTCTGGGCTGCGTTGCTTCAGGAAGGGCGTCAGGCCTAGAAACTGATCCAGGCCAGATCACTATGCAGACTACTGCAGTGGTGACCCTCACTGAAGGGCCCAGTCCAAAGTCAGTCTTGCTCCCATGTAGAAATAAAGAGAAACTAGAATTGGGAGAAAAAGAGGAAGGGTGGACACAAATGTTCAACACAAGCACAGGCCACAAAGGCAGTTTACTAGGGCGACATTTGCTGGAGAGGGCTGTGAGGCCTCAGAAAAAAAAGAAGCCAAGTTGAACCACATGTGACCGAAGGTATGGTGACTGTCAATGGTGTGAATTCTGCTGACACAGTCATGTGGTCACCCTTCTTTTGGATGACTCCACTGTTAATTATACATAGAACCATTATGTTCTCCTCCCGCATTTTTTCCACCAACTCTCTTTTCTCTCCATTTGTCCCACACAAGATGGAAATGTGCAAAAAAAAAAAAAAAAAGACTGTGTTGATCTCTGCCGTTCTTCTGTGAACTCACTCTCTGTCCAGTTCTGACATACAGTCAATGGTACAAACAGAACAGAACAGATCCACACTGACTGATGTGATCATTTCTGGTTGAAGACTCCTTCACCAGCCCTGCAGGTTAAAAGATGCCATTACCAGTGCAAATGTCTGCTGTGGTGAGTATAAACAAGGCATTGACTGAAAACCAATGTTTCTGTTGTGCAGGAAAGGCTCAAATAATCCAGACCATGACTCGGGATTTTATGCAGTTCCTCTATCACCCCGCAGTAAAAACAGGTAAATGCTACAACTTGTACATCTGAACTTCCTTCCTTCACCCTCAACTCCACAGTGAGTCCAAATACTTCTACTCCACCAGCCTGACCTCAAAAAACGTGCAGAAGCTTTTTTGCAGGTGCTACCAACACAGCAGTAGCGACACATACAGGACAAACTGGCATGGTGGTCAAAGATTGTTCTTAAAGGGTTGGATATTATGACACCAGCAACCAAGACAGGAAGCAAGTTGATGGCAAGGAATTAGTTTACAGAGAAGCAAAAGGCTTTTTTGGTTTGTGGATTACGTCCTCTGACCGCTGACTCTGACGACATAAATACAAAGTAATGCACACGTACAGACTCACTTTCATTCATCTTTGAACAAAGAACACAAACGCCTCAAGAACGAAGGTGGATTATATATCAAGGACTACTGTAATAAAACCTGTTTGACTCAAACACAAGGGCAAAGCAGTGGACAGCATAAATCCTTTTGTTTCCTCAGAGACGTGAGAGACCAATGACTTCAGTGAAGGCACTGTCTGTTCTGATGGTCACTCTGAGAAGTAGTACTAAAGTAGTACTTCACCTTGCAGTGGTTCATTTACCTGGTAAAGCGCCGGGGGGGAGGGGGCCCCTTGTAATTCTTCACATCATTATCACAGTATAGCTCAGTTAGGTTCCAGCTGGGGAGTGAGAACTTATCAAGAAGCTACCATCAAGGTCAGCCACAAGACCATATACAAAAAATGGACATCAACATTTGATTGCACAACAAAGTTGTCATGTAAAATTCTGAAAAAAATAAAACAAAAACTGAACAGACCCTGAAATTGGAGTGTCTGTTCAAGGGTGGTCCTGGGTTTCTGGAGGGAGTCCCTAATGGACAAGATATGTACTGCATTTGATGGTGGTTTTATAAAAAGACACTGACTGTGAGTTGTCACTGAACACACGGTTGTAACCATCACTCCTCGAACAGATTAACTCCTGTCTACAGAGTGAATCCTGTCATCGTGTGTTCAAATAGCACAGACCTGAACACTTTTGCCAAATAAGAACAGGTGGTGAGTTAACAATCTGCTGTGTTGTGTTGTGTTTGTTGTAGATTTTGCATCACAACAATGTTTGGAAGCAAAGACAACTGGCTGAGCTCTGAGTGGATGTCTGTTGATCACTGGAGGAAAATCATTAGCATTATCTTGTGAAACCTTCAGTTTGAACTCACACTCAGCTGGGATGTCTAGTGTTTAACTATAGTACGAGTTACGTACAAGTTCTGTCCATCCTCCACCTCCTGTGTTTCAGCCTGCCTTCTTTATCAGTGGTGTTTCCATCAGGATTCAGGAGGATGTCTGATCTAGGGACTGGAGCCCACTTCCATTAAACATCAATCCTCAAATCCTGTTGCAAAGCTTCAATAATTTGAACAGGCTTTCATTCAAATGTTTAGGTTAATTGAATGTTTTCTCTGATTTCAACATTGTTCATTTGTGGGGGATAAAAAAAACCTCAAATAAAACATAACACGCCTCAATGCTTGACAAAGATATGACAATAAAACTGGTCAAAGCTGTTGGAGACACAGAGACCAGTCTAAACTGGTTTGGGTCACTAACATCAGACACCTGCAGGAATGAACACATCTGTCTGAGGACTTTTTTGACCTGCCTTCAGTAAAGCACAGAGGCAGCTGCACGGGAATTTAGATGAACAACCAAATGCTGGTATCCATGTCTTATAGATGGTCTATGCATGTAGAGTGGGACGATGGAGATAAAGGGAAGATTCTGACATGGACACACCCAACACATCAGACAAGGTCAACAATGAGAAACAACATGGTCGATCCTCTGGTGATGTTCTGTCTCTTTAAAGAAAAGAAGAAGAAGAAGTCACTTGTGGTGCTTGAATACATTCAGTGCCTAGCGAATCATTCTGTGTTGTGTCAGCTTAATGCATATCATGTGGTTTGTGTCACACAGCCAGAGGTTTTAATGTAATTTTAGCTATGTTAGCTGCTTCTTGTACATCTGCCCTCTCACTCCCCCCCACCACCTCCTGCACCCTGGATCCATGGTGGTTCTTCTGGTTGACTGGTGAGTGGTTTTTTGCTTTAGCTGCCTTTTCTTTTTGTCTTCCTGCGTGTGCATATACCCATCATCCACAACCACACACAGGAGATACCCCCAGCCCCCTAAAAACACCCTCAGGTCGTTTGCCAATCAAAGCACTAGAGGGCAGAATGTGCTCATCTGGCACAAGAGAGGAACACCATTTGTTCTCCTGTGAAGTTCACAGAGAAGGGAGTGTTGAGAGAAAGAAACAAGTCTCTGGAGAAAGGGTGGGAAAAAACAAGAGAGAGAGAGGGAGGGACGGAGGTTGAGACAAACACAGAGGAAGAGAAAAGAGAGATCAAGTAGATTTGTGTTGGTGTGTGTGTGTGCGCGTGTGTGTGTGTGTGTGGTTGTTGGCTGCACAAATCTAAGAGAGGAAATGGGAGCAGTGAGAGTGTTTTCTACTCTCTTCAACTCCCCACACAGTGGAGAGATCTGAGCAGCTCTGAGCTGGTGGCACAAACACACAAACACAAATAAATTGCTGTCTTGAGAACAAGTCTTCCTCCCCTTCATCGGTCTGTGGTGTTCAATCAGCCCAGGCTAAAGTGTGGGCTCAAAGCTGTGCTGCTGTGTAAACAGGCCTCACTTTCCATCACTGGATCATGAGGAGGAAGAAGGAGAATGAAGGGAACACAAACTTTTAATCTCTGTATTGTTTTTTCCTTATTATGAACAAGACTCAATGTTATATCTCTCTCTCTTTCTCTCTCTCTTCTGATCACACACACATACACTCACACACACACACACAGACATAGAATGCAACACTGTAACTCATTAATAGCTGTGTCCGTGTTTGAGGAAACAAAATACATGGTCGTCCATGTCCTGTCGTCTTCTTCAACTTTTCAACACGTGTCCAACCTCACTGTTAACGTTCATCCAGTAAAAACTCTTCTCCAGTTTCCCTGTTGGCTATTGGCTGGAAAAAAACTCTTCCATCCAACCGTCGCTCGAGTCCAGCTCTGCCCCTGACCCATCCCCCAATCCAAAGGCTCCCCCACCGGAGGCCCCGCCCCCATAGCCGTAAGATGACATGTCCTGACTAGGTGTCCTTTGGTAGCCCTGCTGCTGACCTCCAACCCCTACTCCTCCAGGTCCATACGGTCCACCACCTCCTCCTCCTCCGCCTGTCCCCATGCCTGGTCCTGCAGGACCAGGTGGGAAACTCCCCATTCCAGTCATCCCTTGACCCATCAACCCTTGATTCATTCCCTGGTTCATGACCATGGGCCGGGGCTGGTTGGTCCTGGGCTGAGTGCCCATGTGCGTGCCCATCATTGGCCCACCCATACCTGCAGCTGGGTTGCCCACCCTGGGGTCAATCCCCTGGCTCATCCCCTGCCCAGGTCCCTGAAAGTGTTGTTTGGCCATGCGGGGGGGCTGACCCGGTTGCATCCCATAACCCTGGGCTGAGCTGAATCCCACCATGTCTCCTCCACTTCCTCCTGTAGTCCTTCCAACTCCCCCACCCATGGCCTGCAGACTCTGTCCTTGCTGCTGTGGCCAACCACCAGCTCCCATCCCACCAGCACCCCCTCCAGCACCCAGCATGCTCTGCAATCTCTGTGTTTGGGCTTTAGCACTGGGAGGGCCTTTCAGGGTTTGTTGGGTCAATGAGTTCATTAACATCCCTTGTCCCCCATAGCCCCCAGCTCCAGCACCTACAGGACCTCCAGGCATACCTCCAACCCCGGGGCCTGCTCCTGTGGGCCCAGGTGGCCCCCCAGTGGGATTGTGCTGTGGTGGAAGACCCATGGAGGCCTGGACACTTTGGCTCTGGTGCTGCTGCTGGTGGATCATTTGGCTCATGGAGGGGTTGAGTCCATACATGGAGCCCTGGCTGGATCCCTGGTTGCCATACGGCACACCCATGTCCGTCTGGGGTCCAACGGAGCCCCCCTGGCTCTGAACAGAACTCATAGGGACCATCTGCTGTTGGTTTTGCTGTTGCTGTTGTAGAAGTCGTGCAGCCCGGATGTTCTGAAGAGCCTGGCTCCTGGATGCCAGGTCTTGAGGAGGACCTGTGTGAAAAGATTAGAGAGAGTTAGGGATTGACATACTGAGAGAGGAACCAGCAGGAAGGCCTGTCACGGAGGGCCTAAATAGATCCACTCAATCAATGGTTCCCAAACTATGATACATGTACCAGTAGTGGTACGTGGGAGCGTTAGAGAGTTTGGGAACCACAGTTTGGGAACCACTGGCTTCGGTGAACAGTATGTCAACAGTGGTATGTGGCCATACTGGGGCTACGTGGGGACTCATACGTCTTTGGAGGCGGTATGTGTACCACCGCACTGACTATCAGTACGACACACACACTGACTTCAAAGGGCAAATAGAAGTAGTGTAGTAGTACAGTAACACACTCTGAAGTAACAACTCCTCATTTACTTGGTCGCTGTCTCTTTTAGAGAAGCCTGTTGTGTCACAGCTCAGTGTCTGCCCTTCAGTGAACCCTCTGACTAATCCATCCACATCAACAAGGATGACTTGCTGCAGACACACACACACACACACACACACTCTCAGCTCTATGGAGTACTGTATGTACCTGTTGTGAATACATTGATTGGGCCAACGAAAATGAAAAGGAAGGACAACAACCATCACATCAGAGTACCCCATCCAAACATCATACACAGTGCTGAGGCAGCGCCACCTGCAGCTCTGGATAAATTTCAAATAAGTCACTGAGAATCATTAACAGGTATATACAGAACATCCATCTATGTAGGCCAGAGTGTCCTGCTGACCCCTCCTCTTCCTCCTCACATTATCTCCCCCACTTGCAGACAGTTTCTCTGATGGCTATAAAAGGCTTTCAACTTCACTCCTCTCCTCCTTCCTCTTTGCATTCTCTTCATCTCTCCATCATTCTCTCATCCTCCCATCTCTCTTTATCTCCCTCTCTCCCCAATGTCTAGTGCATGTTTTTTTTCTTCCATCGTTCACCTATAACAATATCTATCCATCCCTCTTGTTACCAGCCCTCTCTCCCTCTCCACCAATCTCTTGTTCTACCTCTCTCTCCCACTTCCCTTCCCTCATCCATCTCTCTGACTTCACCGGAACTCTGGGGGATCCAGGACAGACGAGTTGCCGTGGTAACAGGCAGAGCTGGAATATTAAATAAAAAAAAAAGACAGAAAGAGATTGAGAGTGAGAAAGAAGGGAAGAGCCAAGAGAGAGAAATAGTGGAGGAGGAGAGACGGACAGAAGTGTCTAAATGTCAAGTATTGTGTCTGTCTGACAGACAGACAGACAGACAAGGGACATGGTGGTGATGTTTATTATTAAGTGTTTCTATAAATGTCTCTGTGAGTCTGTGACTCTGCATTTGTCTGGAATCTGTTGGACTGAACCTTTAAACCTGTGGAACATCTACACCGACCCTTCTCTGTTCCCTGATATTTTAGTGCAGCCTGTGGTGTAGATACATATATCACTGAGATGTTTCTGTTTTGTTTAACCCTCCAGATGCTGCACAGATAAAATCATTCACCAAAGTAAAATCATAATCTGTCTGTGGATGAAAATCTAAAGAGAGCAGGTCAGGTGCTGCCTCCTTCATTAAATACATCTATGGAGATGCTGTGTGAATCAGTGCCTTTGTGTCTCTCACCTTGGTACTGATTGACTTGGGGGTATGGATTCCTCTGGCCCTGGCCCATCTGTCTCGGGAGATGCTGCTGCTGCTGCAGCTACAGACACAGACGGATGATTACTTAAGTGATTACTTACATACACACTGCAGTTCAAATGTAGCGCCCCCTGAGTGGGACTAAGATACAAAAACAAGTTAAAAGGTTTAGAGCAAAGTACATAAATAGTTTTTGAAAAGTTTTCATTTAGTATGGTTACAGCTGGACAACAGGACAAAATGCCTTTTGTAAAATGGAGCCAGGAGTCCAGTCACCAACACACACATCACATCCGCAGGATGATTGCTCCCAAACACACATATACAGTACGCAGGGTTTGTGTCTGTGTACGTTGTTGAAGATTCAATTAAAAAACCCCAAAATGGAGCGCAGAGACTCCAGAGTTCAGAACTCTTTAGTTCTTGATTACTGCACAGTGAGAAAAATACAAGGAAAATACCAGATTAGCGCAGCGGGCTGTTGCACACGTACACACACGTGTGGCATCACACACAGACACACAGCACAGATAAAAAGAAAGCTGTGGAGGATAATTATACATGCAACTAGACAGGAGTTAAGAGGAAGAAGAGGGGAGGGGGGGAGAGGAAGGGGGTGCTGCTCCTGTGAGAGTTACTGATTTACAGGCAGGTTTGAACAAATCTATTCAAACAGACTAAAGTAGAAGTGCATGAACCACAAACGCCTCCCACAGGCCTCCAGAACACTCGGACACACGGCCAGGCCTTACCTGCTCAGCCAGGGAGTGCTGCTGTTGCTGCTGCTGCTGCTGCTGTCTCTGTTCTCTGAAGAGCTGCTGCTGCTTCTGATGCTCCATGATTTGCATCTGCACCCTCTTCTCCTGCTCCATCGCCATCATCTGCTTCATCATGGCCGCCTGCTGCTGGTTGCCAACGTATCCCGGTGGAGGTCCTGAGCCCTGGTTGGGGCCCACACCTGAGGCCACACCCCGTCCAGGGTGGGGTGGAGGGATGGCACCAGGTGGTCTTGACATTCCTACCACACCTTGGTCCTGCATAGACCAAAAGAGAGAGAACCTTTGGTCAAACGGACTGTTCTGTCATACAGGTTTCATACGTGAGCCTCTACACTCAATCATCTGTTACAGTTCCATCATCTTCAGGGTCGTGTGACAAGGGCGGGGTCACAACCAGGAACACATTATGAATCTGTTGAACTGTTGGCACACTCAGGGCTTTTCTCTGCAAAAACACTGCAAACGTTAGAGTCCAGGTGTGGGTGAATGAAGACTGTGGTGCAACAGTAAGTACTCCCAGCAGGGCGGGTTGGTGGGTCCTGGCTGCATAAGTTATCTCCTTATTAGCATATAAAGAGCACTTCCTGCTCCACTCAGCCGTATGCTAATTTCTAATAGGATGAAACGGTCGGCTCTGGCCAATGGGAGAGTGGAATTGATGAATCTCTCACATTAGTCGATGTGGTTCAGGTTGGTACACAGAGAACACATGACCACACAGAGCATGATACGCTCACTTCAACACAAACAGTAGCCAAAGACTCAAACAGACGAGCCAGATTACTGTGGTGATTGTAGCGTAGGCTTCAGTCTGCAGCACAGCAGCAGTGATGGTGTTCTGACAGAGCCAAAGCCTCACGATCCGCACGGAGGACGGAGAGCCGTGGAGATAACGCCTGTATATTAGAGCACAAGAAACGCCTGCGATGCTACCAGAATTAGCTGCTTAAGAGTGAATCACCAGACAAGCAGACCAGACTGATCGATGCTCAACACCTATGTGTCTGGTCTCTGGTCGGCATGTTCCTGCTGGACAGCGCAGGCACAGTGTCCAGAGATGGTGTAGTGTCAGGAAATGACCAAGAGGTGGCAGTGGTGGTCTTTAAGCACACGTGTGAGTGTGTGTGTGTGTGTGTGTCTCACTGGCCTCCTCTGAGCAGATGGCTCAATCATGATGGTTCTGATCTACGATCTCTCTCTCTCTCACCAACACCCGCTCTCCCTCTTTTCTTCCTTTCCCTCTAAACACTCCTTCATCAAAGTCCTTTCTTTATTCCTGTTTTCTCCTCTGGAGACTTAGCTTTATTTTGGGGGGTGGGAGGGTGACATGAGTCACACCATTGCTACAGGGAGAGAAGAATGATAGATTAAACAGTAAAGAAGAGAGAAAAGTCTGAGAGAATTACAGTGAAATCTAAGTCAAGCCAAAACAAGAAGACAAGAAAAAAAAGGGTAAAGTGAAAGAATTGAAGAAAAACTTCTAGCACATTGTTAACAAACCTAGACCTCACGACCATGTCAACTTATACTGAGTGTAGTGGTGCGACCTTACACTTTTATACAAATATTGTATGTAGATTTAAAGATGAAAAAAAAGACCTGGCACAGAGAAATCTGAGTCAGCAGTTCAGGCTGCGAAATAAACCTGGGCAGTTCTTCACATTCACAGAACCAGACGGATGATTCAGTTGTTACTTGTCCGTCCAACATGTGTCTGTTCTTTTATTTTTAGCACTTTTCTTGTCATGTTGACCACTCTAAATGGGTTTGTCATCCAACAGGTTTTATCAGGTGTGGAACTGAACCCACAACCTTCTAGGTGTAAGACAACTGTACTACCTATTGAGCCCCAAAATGCAAATCCTAGCAATCACTGGTCTACAATGGTGCCACAGCCCAGACTGTTGACCAGTCCAACACCGACCACAAATAGAGTCACTCATTTTGCATGGTTTTGAACTGGGGGTTGAACCAGCATGTACACTGTACACTGTGTAGAGACTAATGACCCAACATGGTTTGTTTCACTGATCCATTAAATTTCTTGGATGAAGAAGTCGCACTTGTGGTATTTATTCTACAAATTTGAATAAGGCAAAGTCAAAGGTTTCAGCTCATTTTTGAATTCTGAATAAAGATGAGGGAAAACCAGACAGCTCACGTCGACTACACAGACCAAAGGCTAAAGCTGGCAGGAAGGTAAGCTAACATGTAGCAGCAACAGCTAGCCCCATTTAGTAAATCCAGGTTGCATTGATTTCCAAGGAGATCACATTGTTAAAGTGCAATTTTTAGTTTTGATATAATCATTAGATAATAGGCCCCTGCTGGCCTACTGTAGTACTGCAGACAAACTGCTCTTCCAGGTAGATAAACTCATGTTGTTTCTTCATTCACAGTCCACAGTCACCCACTGAACCACAGAGTCCAGAGTCTGCAGTCGGCTGCTGCCCAGAAATATTCACTCCCCATCACTATCTGAACCATACCATAGCTTACAAACAACATCCAGCTATAGATCAACAGTGACGTTTCCTGAGCCAATATTTTACAGTCGTCAATATCGACCAATCACATCACAAACAGCAATTTCATCTGAAAACGAATGAAACCATGGACTTTTTAAATGCAAACTCAACAAACGGAAATCTGCCGCATCAACTCTGCCTTTATATTTGGGTCATTTGGCCTAAAGTTCTGTTCAGACTCATCAGATCTCTTCGTCGCCTGTTCTAATAGACTAGAATCCAGCACCGTTTCGGTGCTTCCTCCAGGCTCCCTGCTCCAGCTCGTGTTGAGTCACTTACTCTACCACAGACTCCAGACGCTAGAGTTTGAGAGCACCAGAGAGAAGTGTGGGCTGGTGCCACCGTGTCAGTGTCTGTGGTGGCAGAACAGAAACAGCAGAGGAAGACGACAGAAGAGGATCAGAGGGAAAGAACCAGAACATGTTTCAGAGGGTGTGTGTTTGTTTTTAAAGACAGATAGGGGGAGAGCGAGAGAGAGAGAGAGGTGTGTTCCAGTGTATGCATCAGAGGAGGTCTGCTCTATTGGGTTAGAGCTCAGGTGATTATATTACACATGAAGTGAAGAGGAAATGGGCATGTTTGACTGAATGTGTGTGTGTGTGTGTGTGTGTGTGTGTATACCTTCTACACATATACTTGTGTGGACTTTCTTTTTGGAAAAATACAATTGTTGTGGTGACATGTTTTTGGAGTTACACTAAGGACTTAGATTAAAGACATTTGTAATAGTTACAGTTGGTTGACTAGAGAATTTATGGTGTCTATCTGAAGTACGTCACGGTAAATTAAAGAGCGCCAAATGGTCGCATTTAGATGAAACATACACTAATAAACACAGAAATCAAAGTCTCGTTACTTTAGTGTGTTTACATTGGATCAGACTGTAACTGATCCCACAGTGAAAACAACACAGTTCTTCACCAGGAAACGTTAACATAAAAATAGAATGTGTGTTATCCTGCTAACAGCTAACAGCTAACAGCTTAACCAACAAGCTGGAGGGAAGCCATCGTGCAGTCTGACATCACAGCAGTGCAGTATTAACACAACATTACACATCACGTAGACACACAGCCAGCTGTAACCAACACATTCACCACACACACACGCACACATACATGGGGCCTGTAAGAGCAGTGGCGCCTGGAAGCAAAGCTGAGAGCGCCTGTGTGTTCCCTCCACAGTGGCTCACATCTGTCACCCACTTGTGTGAGGAAAGAGAGGGAGGAAGAGGAGCAGGGAGGAAACATGTAGAAAATGGACGAGGAGAGAGAGGATAAGGCTGCTAGAAATGAAATAATGAAAGAATCATTAGTACCTACTATTTAATCTGTGAAATACCACATCACCTATAATGGTCAGATCACTTAAATAAATAATAAATACATAAATAAATAAACCAATCTACCTTCTAATGTAGTAATGTCTTTAAATGCTTAGTTATTTCTCTTCAAAACAGATATTTATCTGTTTGGTGTCTCTAAGGATCAAAGCTAAGAAACACAGACTCTTTCCATTTCATCACAGGTGATCGCTGTCGGCTCCTTCAACACACTCTCCTCCAAAACAGAGGTTAAACGGAGGTCAACCGGTCTTCATTGAACAGTTGGTCCTGCTGATTGACCAGTGAGAGTCCATCATACGTTCACAGCTCATTCTTCCTGCATGTAGCCTGCATGGTAAAAGTTGTCCGCACAAGTCGGTTGCATTCCTCTGGAATGACACAGTGGGACAGGTTTTTTTTTTACTGCACACACATTTCGACAACATCTGGTTGACAAATGCAGGCGACAGCTATAGTCGTACTGATGAAGTGTCTGCACTGAAGCCCAGTCAGGGCTTGAAGGTCAGTGGTGTCACAGCATACAGTCTGAACGTACTTGAGCTTCATGCAGGTTGATGGTGACCTCAGAGCTTGAAGAACTTTTCTCTCCATGAACTACCAATTCAACCAACAGTAAAATACCGCTCTATCAGCAGAGTCCAGTATACCAACAGTTATAATGTTATTAGCCTCTTTATTACACAAAGCCAGACCAGACTGGAAATGCACTGAAACACTAGATTTAACGGCGCTCTCTGAAGAGCTGCGTACCATTTTATATTCTCCCCAATTTCACTTCTATCCTCCGGGTATCTACAGCAGCAGAAAAGAATCTCCACAGACCAGAGGAAGCCTCAGTTATACCAGAGGCAAGCGTACCAAACACCACAGCTGTAAAACAGGATCTAGTACTTTTGATCAAATGCTGAGGTTTAGGTTCCTTGGGGCCTTTAGTGTTGTTGCTGCAGCACGACTGTTTCCCTGGCCCTCACTTGGACAGTGACCTAACTTTGTCTGCTGAGAGATGACAAACACACGTGGTCGTCATCAGTCATTGGATTTCAAAATAATCAGCCTAGATGCTGACGACAACCTGCTGTATGTTACATCACCGTCAAGAAATTCTTGACCGGGGTAAGAACTAAGTCAAGAAATAAAATAGTGATTTTGATAGTAACATGTGGCCTGTGTCCTTAAAGTTTTACTACATGTATGCAGTACTAGCCGATTGTACCACAACGGCACGTACAAAAACACACATGGACACTAACCCTGAGCAGATGGCTTAGCCAGACCTCACACCATTAAACTGCCACCCCGACACCAAAGGTAAAGAAGACATTGTGTTGACACGCACACGCACACGCACACGCACGCACATTCACATGCACAGACAACGTGTG